GCCCTTTTCCGAGTCAGATATCAAAAGTGTCCCTCAATTAGCTTTATAGTTTAATCTTTAAAACTGTTGTTTAATTTCACGCTGCATCATGTCGCTTTATCTTGTTTAAGCGTCTGGAAATGGAAGTCATGCAGCTGTACAAATCTCAGGAAAAGTGGACATGAAGCCAGACTAAGGCTTAATTTGGCCACTCTTAATTTTATGCAAAACTTGGGCAGTACATATGACATTTTGTAGGCATCATTTGCTCTTTTCTGGTCAGCAACCAAAAGAAGAGGTCAAACGAAAAGCACACGTTCCTATTCCCGCGTGTTCTTTTATGGTGCGCATTTCAGGGTTTGATTTCGTTATCTGATGTGATAAATTATTTGGTTGTGAGAACTGCCGAAAAACTGCCTGTTGAAAGCCCTCATCATTCACGCTTGGGTCTGCATTCTCAGCACAGCTCGTACGTTATTTATCAAGCAAAATGTTGTTCCTTTTTTATTTGTTTTTTCATTAGTGATGGCATTATAATTGAGTATTCAGTTCTCGTCGAAAATTAGATTGAACAAAACAACTCAATATTTTGACATGGAAACGCCAATAATCTGCATTTACACTTTGCTATCTGCTTTGACCAGCTGAAATTATATTTTTATGCATAATTACTAAAAAAAACCGTTTAAATTTTATTCCAGTAAATACTGACAGAAATTGTTTTTATGCGTTTTTTCCTTTTTATAAAATCGGAACACACACATCCACACACAGTCCAACAAGCTCTTAATGATGTTCGTTTCTGCGCTTTAAAAAATGCGCATTATAAAGAAGTTGTTGGTGTGTGTATATGTGTGTGTATGTGTATGTGCGTTTGTGTTTGTGTATGTGGTGTGTGTGCGTGTGTGGTGCGTGTGTGGTGTGTGTGTGTGTGTTGGTGCGTGTGTGATGTGTGTGTGTGCGTGCGTATGTGGTGTGTGTGTATGTGTTGGTGCGTGTGTGATGTGTGTGTGTGTGCGTGCGTATGTGGTGTGTGTGTGTGTGTGTGTGTGTGTGTGTGTGTGTGTGTTCCGATTTTCGT